GTGCAGTAGCTCTATCTGCCTAGCTATCCTGGAACTAGACCAGGCTGGTCTTGAACTCACAGAGATCCTCCTGCCTCTGCTTCCTAAGTGCTGGATTCAAGGTGTATGCCACAACCGCTGGGCCCCCCAGGGCCTTTCTTCACAGCCTATTCTGCCCCTCCCATCCTGCAGCAGAGCCTCCTGACCATGGAAGAGATCCAGTCGGTGGAAGAGACACAGATCAAGGAGCGCAAGTGTCTCCTGCTGAAGATCCGCGGTGGCAAGCAGTTTGTCCTGCAGTGTGACGTAAGTGGGGCCTGGTGCGGGTGCAGGTGGGCGGATGCCTGGCCGGCAGAGGCTGATGGAGCCTGAACATGCACAGAGTGATCCTGAGCTGGTGCAGTGGAAAAAAGAGCTGCGCGATGCCTACCGCGAGGCCCAGCAGCTGGTGCAGCGAGTGCCCAAGATGAAGAACAAGCCACGCTCACCTGTGGTGGAACTGAGCAAAGTGCCACTGATCCAGCGTGGCAGTGCCAACGGCCTCTGACCCACCTATCTGCTGCCCGCCTGCCCACCCGTCTTTTATAAACCTCTAATTTATTTTGTCGAATTTTTATTATTTGTTTTCCCGCAAAGCGGAAAAGGTTTTATTTTGTAATTATTGTGATTTCCTGTGGCCCCAGCCTGGCCCAGCCCCCAGGGAGGGGTCCGCTTGCCTCGGCTCCTGCTACCACCAACCCAGCCACTGCCTAACACCCCTCCCTGACTCCTCTCCTCCCCCCTCCCCTGGGTCCTCGCTCCCAGTGTCTTCCTGTAGGGAAGAGGAGCAACCCTCAGCAGCCCTCTTGCACCTCCACGGGGTGAAGCCACACTCGGTAGTGGGCCACTTCAGGCTCTGTGGGCTGTGCTCAGCCTGTGGCACCGCTGGGTGGCCCAGCATCCCCATCCTAGGGAGGAAGGTGCAACATAGGGATACTACTTGAACTTTCCAATCACAGCGCACGTGCCACAGAGGGACAGACCCCCTGCTGTTCTGCCCTCTCGCCACTGGTGACAGAAGGCCCTTGTCTCCCCAGACCTGGAGGTCTCCACATGACTGGCTTCTAGGTCCTTATTCAGGAAAAGCCTCTGTGTCACTACTGCCCCTTCTCCCCTTCCATGGACACTAGGGCTGGGTCAGAAGGCTGGCATTGGCAGTGGCTGCTGCTGGCTTCTGTGCAAGTCCCCTCTTCTTCCCATTGCGTGCCCGGACTCAGGAGCACAGAAAAGGCAATTGTGGATTGGGCCACACTGGCCTAGCTTGAACCTAGGCCCCCAGCCCTGGGCTGGGTGAGGCTCACCTGCCCAGGACCACAGTGGGACATCTTGGGCAGGTGGGTGGCACAGCATAGGAGCCCATCTGGGGCCAGTCCTCCTTGTCCTGGCTGGTCAGTGTGTCCCCACCCACACTGTCCAGCCCCCTAGCCCACGTCCTGTCAGTGCCACCGCCCACAGGTGCCACCTTGCCCACCGCATGCCCCCTTGTACCAGTCGCGCAGCCGTGTGTGGTGTCGCGCCCTCTCCCCTGGGGCTGGGTCAGCGCACCTCCCCCTCTTGTCTACTCACTCCCAGGGCGTTTCTTTGCCGATTTTTGAATGTGATTTTAAAGAGTGGAAATGAGACTATGTGTTTTTATAAAAAATGGTGCCTGATTCCTCGCTGTCTGGTTCTTTGTGCTGGTGATCACTTTTTAGTCCCTTCTGTCTGGGGCCTGAGAGGGGAGGAACTTAGTAACCCATCCTTCCCTCTCTAGAGGAGTGGGTTCTTCTGCCCACCTCCCAAGTAAGCAGGAATGGTCCATGGTCCACGACAGCTGTCATGTTTGGAATGGCTGGGGACATACTGACCTTATCAAGTTCCCCTACATGTCAACCCCCCATTCCCTCTCAGTGCATGTGTTTCTTATCCACACTGGCTGTGTCTGCCACTGGCCTTACTGTGCAACCTTTACTGGGGTCACTGGGCTAGAGGGGTACCCCATCTTCAAGCTATCTCCTAAGAATGAACTTCTTTGTCCTGTTTCCTTGCTCCAGCTCTTTGGAGCTGGTGACAGAACATGTAAGCACCATTGCCTGCCCTGTCCAGTGTAGGGTGGGGTGCACAGAGGAGGAGCTAGTTCTAGGGAAGATACTGTGTGGTTTTGGGCTATGGCATTTGAGGTGGGCCTCCAGCATCAGAGTGGTCATTGGTGGAGATGTTTCTAAGACCAGAAAAGGTCAGGCACTTATGAGTGTCTCAGTCAGCAAACACAAAGGAAGGAACCAGGCATTGGGGCCCTGAAAGGCCAGCACAGACCCAGAATATTCAGTGACTGCAGCCTGGATATATGAACAGACTGAGGGGCTAAAGTTGCTTAGCTCCTGGTGGTTAGCAGAGGCTAGTCTCAAACTCACTATATAGCCAAGGATGGTCTTGAATTCTTCATCCTTCTGCCTCCACTTCCCAAGTACTGGGATTACAAGTGTCTGCTCCCAGTAATATCTGGCTAGTTCTCAAGTTTCAGGCAGGCTGAGTTCATGAGAACTGATCTGGTCACTGCGAGAAGTAAGGAGACAGGGTCAGCGCTTATCCAGGGAAGATGGTCTTGTAATGCTGATAGTGAAGGGAGAAGGGAAAGAGGCCAGAGAGGAGAAAATCCTGAGCAGGGCAGTAGGCAGGCCAAGCGTAGTGATGAGAAGTAGGTGGTCAGACCTGGAGTGTATTATGAAGGCCATGATGTTATTCAGGAGGTAAGGTAGAGCTGGGCATGGTGACACACACGTTTGATCCTAGCACTTAGGAGGCAGAGGCAGGTGAATGTAGGAGTTTGAGACCCATCTGGTCTATATAGTGAGTTCCAGCCAGCCTAAGCTGCATAATGAGACCCTGTCTCAACACAAACAGCTAGGCAGTAGTGGCACACAGAGGCCGGTGGATCTCTGTGAGTTCAAGGCCAGCGTGGTCTAAGAGAGAGTTCCAGGACAGCCAGGGCTACAACACAGAGAAACCCTGTCTCAAAAACACAACCAAACAACAAATCAAACAACCCAACAATGACGAAAAAGAGGTAAGATAGGCCAGAGCACAGCTGGCCTGGGAGGAAGAAAATAAAGCATTGGGATTTGGCTTTTGACACCCTACGATAGAGATGTTCTGGAGTGGCAAGGCAGGAGAATGGAACAAACTCTCAGCCAGGAGAGGTCCACATGGCTGTCAGAGTCCCTGTCAGAGAAGTAAGAGCTGATGGAGAAATCCTCAAGACAGCAATTCCAGGGTTAGGGTGGAGAGGACATGGGGACAGGACAGTCTTACAGGCCAAGAGAAGCCTTTGAGCTCCTGCCTAAGTCCAGACATCACAGATGTCTGCACCACACGAGGTAAGTAGCAGAGATTCCAGAGAGCTATAAGCCACCTGACCACAAGGAGAAAAGGGGTAAAGGTGGCAGTTGGACCGTAGAAATGATGACATCTAGGGCAGGAAGGGAGTCTCAAGTTAATGGCTTTCTCCATCTCACTAACTGTTGGGAGATTGCAAGATGGCTCATCCATTAAAGGTATTTGCTGCCAAACCTGAGTTCAAGGGTGGGAGAGATTTCATCCTCCCTCTCCCTCTCCCTTTCTCTCTGTACTTTCACTGTTTAGCTCTGGCTGTCCTGGAACTTGCTTTGTAGACAAGATTGACCTGGAACTCACAGAAATTGGTGTGCCTCTGCCTCTCAAGTGCTGGGATTAAAGGCATGCACCACTACTGCCCAGCATAGAGAACCAACTCTTTTTTTCTTTTCTTTCTTTTTTTTTTTTTTTTAAATTCGAGACAAGGTTTCTCTGTAGCTTTGGAGCCTGTCCTGGAACTAGCTCTTGTAGACCAGGCTGGCCTCGAACTCACAGAGATCCGCCTGCCTCTGTCTCCCGAGTGCTGGGATTAAAGGCGTGTGCCACCACGCCTGGCTCGAGCACCAACTCTTAAAAATTGTCTTTTGACCTCTACACTCATGAGCACCCACACACAAGAATGAATGGATAATCAAATGTAAATTTTAAAAATGGAGAAACAGACAAGTGGATCGGTTTTGAAAAGTCTGGTTTATGGCTTCACCAAGATCAGGATCCTCAATGACCCCATGGTAGGACTGAAGAGAACCAGGGGCCAGAACTAAGATAACTGCCTGCACCCTAGTTCCTGTGTGGGTGGAAGTGCCGGCCTTGTTTTGAAACTGTCCTTCCTTCCCTATTGACAGTAAAATGCAGCCTCTGCAAAAGAGACCCACGTGGTGGCAGTATGCACCACGGCCAATTTCCCACGGAGAAAGCCTGTGTTCTCCAACCCCATATGACTATTCCTGACTCCAGTGCTGTTGGAGGATTCCCTGCTCATGATGTGATGTCTTCCAGACATCAGGGCAGGCAACTCCTTGGGGGAAGAGGCTTCAACTGGTGACTGGTCAGCGTAGGGGCTGCTACTGGGTGGGCGCTCATCTCCAGAAGCTAAGTGCCTTGCCTGGCAGGGATGAGGACAAGAATTCCCATCTTACCCGCACACCAAAGGCCAGTCGGTGCTTGTAGAATCCAGGAGTGGGCTGGGTGGAAGGACACGGTGTGGGCGACGGTCCAGACCAGGCCCCTCTGCATACGTAGGGCTCGAGGCCCAATCCCCGCTCCTTCAAGCTTCCCGTCCCCTCCCGGCCCTACCCTCCCTTTCCAGACCTCTATCTAGAAAGGGAGTCTGCCCAGGGCATTGGGCGCCGCCTGAGGGGACTGAAGGAGATGCAGCTAGGCCCCGCCCACCGGAACGCCCCCTACCGGCCCTTGCGGCCTCGAAATGAGGTTCCGGCTGTTCCAGGGGCGCATGTGGTTGCCCTGGAGACTGGACAACACCCCCTCCTCTCTGTCCGCCTCCAGCGCGCAGGCCTGAAGTGGTTGCCATGGCTGCAGGAGGCGAGGGGGCGCGGAGCCCGAAGCCACGCCCTGTCCCTTGTAGCCCCGCCCCCGTCCCCCAGCCCCGCCCTCCCTGCCGCCCTCGCTGCTGCTGCCGCGGCTCTGCTAGGGGTCTGCGGGGCTGTGGCCGGTGCAGCTGAGGTGCGGCTCGGAGCGGAGACGCGGGGGCAGTGCCAGGCGCAGGCCAAGAAGGGCTGGGCCGTTCACTCGGGATGCGGCGCTGAGGCCCAGCATGGCCGCCTTGGGCCCCACCTTCCCACTGCACCGGCTAGTCTGGGCGAACAGGCACCGCGAACTGGAGGCCGCGCTGCACAGCCGCCAGGTGAGGACTTGCAGCGGATCCTGTTGGTCCCCCCTGCCGAGGTGCGGAATTCATCCTGCAATACACTTGCCCCTGCTCTGCTCCACAGCCGCATTCTGACTCCTTAGCTTCAGCTCTGTCTGAAGCCCAGGTCACCTGCCCTTTAGCGGCATCTCCCCGCTCTGGGCCTAGCTCTGTTCTCTGCCCACTTAATATTGCATTAAGCTCCGGATTCACCCTCCACCTCTGAGCTAGATTAAGGATGAGAACCTTGCTCTTGGTCCTCATGTCGATCCAGACTCTTGACATCTCTCACTAGACTCTGCCGCTAGGCCCCCAACTCAGGCTAGCAGCGGGCAGGAGAAATGAGCAAACCCTTGCCTTTGGCTCTCACTGCCCCCTTTAACCCGGCATCCTCTAGCCCACATAGGCCACCCTCTATCTTCTCACTGACCCGGTTACTCTCCTTATTTCCGTAGTAACTCTAGCTCTTTTCAGTCCGGTGACCTCCTTGCCTTGGCTCTCCCTTGCCTTGTGTTGAATGTCCCATCTCCCTCAGCACAACATTGAACAGGAGGATCCCCGAGGGCGGACCCCGCTGGAGCTGGCTGTGTCCTTGGGGAACCTGGAGTCTGTGAGAGTCCTTCTTCGACATAATGCCAACGTGGGCAAAGAGAGCCACCAGGGCTGGGCAGGTACTATGCAGGGCAGGGTTTGGTGGGTGGGAGTGAGTAGTCGAGCCTGGGGTCACTAAGAGGGCTTTCCTAGCGATCGTTCGTCTCCAGTCCTGCAGGAGGCAGTCAGCACTGGAGACCCTGAGATGGTACAGTTGGTACTTCAGTATCGGGACTTCCAGAGGGCCACACAGAGGTTGGCTGGCATTCCAGAACTGCTCAATAAACTCCGTCAGGTATGGTAGGGTACAGGATGTGGTCAGTAAGGAAGTGAGGTATCACAACAGGGGCCACCAAGTCCCTGTGACAGGCCTGGCCTTTAAAGAGTTAAGTACATAGGCTGTGCAGTGTGTTTCCCATCTATGTGTTTACCTCTGCCAAAGGGCATGTACGAAATAAAGGATCCAGGCCCATGCACATGAGACTGGGTCTTTTGGAAGGAAAACATTTACCAGCACAGCACTAAGGGTCCCTGATGCCAGGAATGTCTTGGGCCTATTAGAGAAGGTAAATTTCCAGAAGGGTGACTGGGTAGAGATGGCCTGGACCCTGGAATCCCTACTTTATCCTTAAGCTTGCAAGGGGCAGAAGCACCCTTGTGCCTGGAAGGGTCATTGTGTCCCCTTTCCAGATCAGGACTCAGAGACACAAAAAAGACAAAGGCCGTTGGAGGGGCCTGTGGGCCATGTTGACTGGCCCCAGGCTACCGGTGCTTATAGTTTCCTTATGTATAGAATATTTTAGGGTCTCTCCTTGGCAGGATGTGATTGGAGTGGGAGTGTAGCTGGGTCACAGCATTGCAGCATAATTTGTGGGCTCCCAAAGAGTAATGGGGGACTATGAGCCTCAAAGCCTACGAGGCTGGTGCACCAGACCACAGGCCCTAACAGGCAGCTTTGGTCTCTCTTAGGCCCCTGATTTCTACGTGGAAATGAAGTGGGAATTCACCAGCTGGGGTGAGTGGGGACCAACTGACTGCTAGGCTTGGAGCGGGCTCTTTGGGGAAGGTTCCTGATGACTATGAGACTCCTTGCAGTACCCCTTGTGTCTAAGATGTGCCCGAGCGATGTATACCGCGTGTGGAAGCGTGGTGAGAGCCTGCGAGTGGATACTAGTCTCTTGGGCTTTGAGCACATGACCTGGCAACGTGGCCGGAGGAGCTTCATCTTCAGGGGTCAGGGTGAGCTCTGGGGCACTTCCTGCATGGACAGATGTGGCTGGCATGCTCAGATTCTCCCTGTGACTTCTGCACTTCCTGGAAGTGGAGACTGAAGCTGAGGGTGGAGAGGGGCCCAGGGGCTGAGGGTGTATCTACTTAGCAGCAGGTGACTGAGGATAGCTCACTGATCCGTTCCCCTCCTGTGACACCCCTGCCACTGACAGAGGCAGGAGCCTTGGTGATGGAGGTGGACCATGACCGGCAGGTGGTGCACACAGAGACACTAGGTCCAGCTCTGCATGAACCGGAAGCACTGCTGGCTGCCATGCGGCCCAGTGAGGAACACGTAGCCAGTCGCCTCACCTCGCCTATTGTCTCCACCCATCTGGACACTCGCAATGTGGCCTTCGAGAGGTCAGTTGGGGCCTGGCACAGCATGGGTGGCGATGGAGGAGAGATAGGGAAACACACATTTTTTTTTAAGTTAGGGTCTCTGGCTGGGAGGTAGTGGAGCACGCCTTTAATCCCAGCACTCAGGAGGCAGAGGCAGGAGGATCTCTGTGAATTCGCAGCCATACTGATCTACAAGAGCTAGTTCCAGGACAGGCTCCAAAGCTATAGAGAAACCCTGTCTCGAAAAAAAAAAGTTAGGGTCTCACTATGTAGCCCAGGCTGGTCTTGAACTAGAGATCCTTCTGTTTCAAATCCTGACTGCTGAGATTATAGGTGTGTGTGTGTGTGTGTGTGTGTGTGTGTGTGTGTGTGTGTTACCACGCCCAGTGTAAACCAACATTAATAAAAGCAGAACTATCCTTAAGGTCCCTGATACTTATGGGAGGCTGATCCCCCTTCACTAGAGGCTGCTTAGATTGGGGTACAAGGGTTACTATGGTTTGTATTAAAAAATATGCCATTGCTACAGTTAACTTTTTAAAAGTTTTATCATCTCAAAAAGTAACCCTTTACCTGCGGTCTGCCTTCACCCAGTCCTAAATATCCACTAATCTATTCTCTGTTGCTATTTGCACGTGAATGAAATTGAAAATATGTTGCTTTTTGTGTATTGATTTGTTACTTTGTTTTCAAGGTCTATCCAAACTGTAACTATAGCATGAAACTCTTTATTCTTTTTTATGGCTGAATAGATCGTATGCACATACCATAATTACTTTTTTTTTAAGATTTACTTATATTTTATGTGTATGAGGGGGTTTTTGCCTGCATGTATCTATATCATTGTGTGCATGCAGTGCCCAAAGAGACCAGAAGAGGGCATCAGAGCCCTCAAAACTGGAGAGAGATGACAGTAAGCCACCATGAGAGTACTGGGAACTGATACCAGTTCTTTACAAAAACAGGTAAAATGTTCTTTACCTCTGAGCCATCTCTCCAGTCTTTATAATTATTCTTTACTTCTTTATTTATATAATTCCATCAGTAGACATTTGGGTTATTCCTACAGTTTGCCTACGAGGAATAATCAAACTATGTACTTTTATATAAATTTTGTGTGAACATTTCATTTCTCCTGGACATATTCTTAACCTTTGAGTGGAATTGCTGGGTTATATAACAACTCAAATTTTTTTTGGTATGAGGAAATGCCAGACTTTTTACCAAATGGCCTGAATCATTTTATATGGCCTCCAACAGTGTGTGAGGGTTCCAGTTTCTCCACATTTTCACCAATGCTTGCTATTGATCATTCTCTGATTCTTGCATTCCAGCTAGGCTGGTGAGTGGGATGTGGCGCCTCACTGTAGTTTTGATTGACATTTCTCTAAAAACTAATGATGCTGAAGTTTTTTTCATGTGCAAATTGGGTCATTTTATTCATTTTTATTTTTTGACAAATGTCTATTCCAATTCTTGAGCTTGTTTTATTTTTGTTTGTTGACAGATTTTTCACTGTGTAGCCCTGGCTGTTCTGGAACTTACTCTGTAGACCTTGCTGGCTTCAAACTCAGAAATTTGTGAGCTGTCCTGACAATGAAGCGCAGTTGATCTCCTGCCTCGGTCTCTGAGTCCCTGGGGTTTATAGGTATCCACCACCATACCTGGTCAGATCATAATATAATTTCATTAATTTTTAAAAATTAGATCTATATGTATATTTTATGAGAGAGAATTTTGCTTACATGAATGGATGTGTACCATATATGTGCCTAGTACCCATGGAGGTCAGAGGAGGGCATTGAGTCCCCTGAACCTGGAATTAAGGAAGGTTGTGAGCTACTATGTGGGTGCTGGGAATGGAACCTGGGTCTTCTAAAAGAGCAATATGGAAGCCAGGTGGTGGTGGCGCACACCTTTAATCCCAGCACTCAGGAGGCAGAGGCAGGTGGATCTCTGTGAGCTCAAGGCCAGTCTGGTCTACAGAATGAGTTCTGAGACACAGAGAAACCCTGTCTCGAAAAACAAACAAACAAAAAAGCAATATGGCTTGTAACCACTAAAAGCCATCTCCCCAACCCTTCATTATTAAGGTTTAGATTTGTTCATAGTGAAAATAAAAACATAACTTTATATGGGTTACATATTCTTGAACATTGCTACACTCATTATTTCCATTAGATTTTTAGTAAATTCCTTCATATTAAAATAAAAGACTTTATTTGTATGAGTGTTTGCTTGCATATGTGTGTGTGTACTGCCTGAGGAGGCCAGAAGGAGGTATCAGAACCTTGGAGCCGAAATAACAGGTGTGTGTGAGCAGCCTGATATAAGTACTAGATTCAAATTCTGGTCCTGTGGTAGAGCAGGAAGCGCTCTTACCACTGAGCCATCTCTCCAGCCCCAATTTTTTTTTTCAAGATAGGTTTTCTCTGCAGCTTTGGAGCCTGTCCTGGAACTAGCTCTTGTAGACCAGGCTGGCCTCGAACTCACAGAGATCCGCCTGCCTCTGCCTCCCGAGTTAAAGGTGTGTGCCACCACCACACCTAGCTTTCTTTCTTTCTTTCTTTCTTTCTTTCTTTCTTTCTTTCTTTCTTTCTTTCTTTCTTTCTTTCTTTCTTATGAAAGAGTGTTAGATTTGTTCAGTGCCTCATTGATATGACCATGTGATTCCTTCAAAGTGTTCTTTTGCTAGTGGGGAGTATAGTTCAGTAGTAAATGGATGCTTAGCACATGCGAGACCCTTGGTTTGATCTCCATTACCACCGTGTCTTAGCCACCATCTGCTGTGAAGAGACATGTGACCACTGCAACGCCTATAAAAGAGAGCATTTAACTGGGGCTGTCTTACAGTGCCAGAGGTTTAGTCCATTGTCGTCATGGCAGGAGGCATGGTGACAAGCGCAATAGTGAAGAGCTATACCCTGATCTGCAAGCAGAGAGTGAGACTGGGCCTGGCATGGGCTTTAAAACCATAAAGCCCGCCCCAGTGACATACTTCCCTCATCAAGCCCATTCTCCTGATCCTTCTAATCCTTTCCTACAGTGCCACTTCCTGATGACTTAATTCATATATATATGAGCCTATTATTATTCTCATTTAATTCTTATTCATAATTCATATATAATTCATTTTTACTCAAACCACTATATACTTAAAGATTTCTATTCATGTGATTTATTACATAAATTGATTCTTTCGAAACTGAACCAACCTGGCATTCCTGGGATAATGTTACTTGATTCTTTTATAGAATTCTTTCCATTTATTGTTAGATTTGTTTTGTTTTTTCGAGACAGGGTTTCTCTGTGTAGCAGTGGCTGTCCTAGAACTCACTCTGTAGACCAGGCTGGCCTTGAACTCACAGAGATTTGCTTGCCTCTGCCTCCGAGTTCTGGGATTAAAGGCCTGCATCACCACTTCCTGATTTTTGTTGACTAGTAATTTGTTGAGGATTTTGTCTATACATCTATAAGAAATATTGGTCTGTAGCCAGTCTATTTGCCTCCCTTACTTCTTTTTCTTTCTCTCTCCTTTTCTGTGCTGGTGCTCTGTAAGCTGTACCAGAGTCTACAGCTTCCTTTTCATGTTTTTGTCTGGTTTTGACATGTGGGCAAAATTTGATAGACTGAGTTGAAAAGTATTACCTCATCATCCATTTGGTAGACGAGTTGGCAAATGCCTGACACTAATTCTTCAGATGGTTGGTAGAATCCCACGGCAAAGCCATCCAGGTCTGTGCTTCTCTCTGAGTGGGTAACAGAAGAGAGGAACTCTCTCCTCACTTGCACCTTACTTAGATCATTTCAGAAGTCTGGGCCTCACAAGGAGTTTGTCCACTTCATATAAATTACCACTATTGCATTTGTGTATGTAAGTGTGCATACTCAGGAGCTAGAGACAGGTGGATCTCTATGAATTCAAGACCAGCCTGGTTTACATAGTGCGTTCTAGGCAGCCAGGGATATGTGTTTGTCTCAAACAGCAACAAGAAGAAACAATCATCCCAGATGTTTTATCATCTCAGTAATAAATACTTCTGTATTAACACCATTGTCATAGCTAACAACAAATAACAATAAAACAATTACTCTTCACTTCTGGTCTTGCCCTTGTGCAAATGTTCTAGCTGTTCAGTCCTAGTCCATGCTCCTCCATGTGTCACTGTGGGCAGGGACCTTGGCAATTGAGTAAACAGGGCCACCAGCTAGCTGAAGGAACGTTCGCGGTGTACTGGGGGAGGGGTGCGTGTCCTCATTACTCCTGTCTGGTCTGTTGCAGGAACAAATGCGGTATCTGGGGATGGCGGTCTGAGAAGATGGAGACCGTTAGTGGCTACGAGGCCAAGGCAAGAGGGGCTACTGAGCTAGGGGTCTTAGGGATAGCCTTGTGGGCCCTGGGGGCTGCTCCTTTACCCTTCATGCTGTGGAGAGAGGTGAGATCGGTTCTTTAAAAAAAAAAAAAAAAAAGATTTATTTATTAATTCTGTATACATGGTTCTTCCTGCATGTATGCCTTCAGGCCAGAAGAGGGCACCAGGGCTCATTACCCATGGTTGTGAGCCACCATGTGCCATGTGGTTGCTGGGAATTGAGCTCAGGTCCTCTGGAAGAGCAGTCAGTGCTCCTAACCTCTGAGCCATCTCTCCAGCCCCGGTTCTTTTTTTTTTTTTTTTCGCCAAAGTTACTTTCTATGGCCCAGAGTTCCAGCCCCTGCTGACCCCTCCTTAGGCTCTGAGATGAAATAAGGGGTGTTTTTGTTTTTGTTTTGTTTCTCTTGCCTCTCTGACTACATGCCCCTGTTAGTGACTCCTGGGGTTCAGACCCTACCATTTGCTCTCCTGTGGGGAAATTTTTTGTGTCTCAGGGAACAGAAGGACTTGGATTCTGGGCTGATGAAAACCAGGCTCTGAACCCTACGTTCCCCATGTGTCCCCCGATCCTCAGGTGTACAGTGCCACCAACGTGGAGCTGGTGACACGCACAAGAACGGAGCACCTCTCTGATCAGGACAAGTTAAGGAGCAAAGGTAAACCCAGGTGCGACTGCCTGCTGCCCAGTCATTCTGTGGTCCGGGCCAGGGCTTGACCATCCCGGCGGGGTGGGAGGCCTCCCTCTCTCCCAGAACCCTCTCTCTCCCATTCAGCAGGGGGCTCCCAGGCAGACAGTGGCAGAACACAGGCTGGGGAGTTGCCCAAAGTTCCCTCATGGTTCCCACTACTTCTTCTCAGGGGGGAAGACTCCGTTCCAGTCCTTCCTGGGGATGGCCCAGCAACACTCCTCCCACAGTGGGGTGAGCTTGGCTGGGGGAGGGCTGGGCCAAACTGGGGTGGGTGGGGCACTTTCTCTTCATACAGAAGGCTAAGTCCTGCCCTGGGGTCCACTCAGGCTCCAGTGCAGCAGGCAGCCAGCCCCACCAACCCCACAGCAATTTCCCCCGAGGAGTACTTTGACCCCAGCTTCAGCCTGGAATCAAGAAACATCGGCCGCCCCATTGAGATGTCCAGCAAAGTACAGAGGTGAGGTCTGGGGTCAGGTTGGGGAGTCCCACCAGAAGACCTTGGGCAGCGGCAGAGTCCTGCCATGCATGGAGTGCATCGCAGTGAGGGGTCTGCTCACCTAGTCGGCTTCTCTCTGGACCAGCTCCAGAGGGTGGGCGCATGTTTGACACCCAGCATGTACCTGGGCCCAGGGAGTTGGTCATACTTGGGTGACATCACCAATGTATTTGCCTTTTTGTTTGTTTATTTTGGGCTTTATGATACAGGGTTCTACTTTGTAGCCCTGGCTTGTGGCTCATTATGTAGCTCAGGCTGGCCTCCAACTCAAAACAGTCCAAGTGGTGGGATTACACCAATCCTGGCTTGTTTTTCTGTTCAACTCAGTGAGCATGTGTCAGGAACTAGAGCATGGCAGAGTGGGAAGAGCTTACAGCTCTGCTGCCCAGTGGTCTATATCCCAAGGAGATGATCTTCCCTCCTGGGAGTCTGTTTTCTTCTTTAGAAAATGTTCATGTCACACGGATGTAGTCACGGCGACAATGCCTTAGAGCAGATCTAACAGACTCCACGCAGCCTCATGGGTCTCTGCTCACACACTGATTGGAGATGGGATTTAAACCCCGAAGTCAAGCACAGCCCTTTTGTGTTTGTGTGGCCAGCATACTCAAGCGTATAGTGCCGACAAGCTCTAGACAGAGACGGGGCTGTGGACAAGGCCCAGAGATGAGCCCAGGCTGGCTCCTGCCCCTCCTCATGCAGATCAGAAGAGTGACACAGAGCCCTCAGCCCCAGAAACGGGCCAGGGGCTGAACACCTCGGGCTTTAGAGCCAGTGCTGAGTTCCTAGGGGCAACAGTCGATAGGAGCTGGGAAGGGAGAGGGGCACCACAGGCAGCTGGCTGGAAGGGGTGAGGTGCCAGGGGTTCCTGACACCTTTCTCTGGTCGGCTGGATAGGTTCAAGGCAACACTGTGGCTAAGTGAGGAGCACCCACTGTCCCTGGGTGATCAGGTGACACCTATCATTGACCTGATGGCCATCAGCAATGCTCATTTTGCCAAGCTGCGGGATTTCATCACGCTACGCCTCCCACCAGGCTTCCCTGTCAAGATTGGTGAGAAGATGACCAAGGGGCAACCAGGACGTAGGCATGACACCCCCACTCAGGTTTGGGGTTACTGCAGGGGGCAAGCAGCTCAAGCCTGGCTCTCTCCTCTCAGAGATTCCCCTCTTCCACGTGCTCAATGCCCGAATCACCTTCAGCAACCTGTGTGGCTGTGATGAGCCTGTAAGCTCGGTGTGGGTCCCTGGCCCCAGTTCTGCCATTTCAACTTCAGGTATGGCTATAGCTCCAGGAGGGCTAGGTGACTGTTCAGCTGTCTGATCAGCCTTGGGGCTGAATGTGACCGCTGTTACCCTGCCCAGGAAGCCCTTTTCCATGTGAGGTGGACCCCACTGTGTTCGAGGTGCCTGAGGGGTACAGTGTGCTGGGTGCTGAGCGCAGTGAACCCCTTCGAGATGAGGATGATGACTTGCTGCAGTTTGCCATCCAGCAGAGCCTGCTTGAGGCCGGCACAGAGGCAGAGCAGGTGGGATGATGCAGGTGGAAGGTGGGTCATGACCTCTACAGCCACAAGCCTGATGTGACAGTTCTGGGCTCTGGCTGCTGCAGGTGACTGTGTGGGAAGCCCTGACCAACACACGGCCTGGCATTCTTCCTCCTCCCCAAGTCACGGTGTTTGAAGAGCAGCTTCAGCTGGAGCAGTGAGTCCCTTAGAAACACTGTGTGTGGGTCCTTGGCTGGCTGGTTGGGGGGAGGGATGGGAAACAAGGGAGTTCTAACCCCAGGGCTCCATACCTTCCCAAGACAAAATCCTGCTCACTACAAGGAACAGGCCAGGCCAAAAGAGTCTTGCTTGTCTCTCTCCCTGACCGCTTGTCTCTCACAATGACATGAGGTCATCTCACGAAGGCTTCTCTCCAAGCCTTCTCATTGGTCTGTTCTCCCCTCAACCCTTGTCCTCAAGGGCCCTCCAGGAGAGCCTGCAGTTGTCCACAGAGTCCATGGGGCCAGCATCTCCTCAGAGAACACCTCCATCCCCTGCACCCCCAAGTTTTGAGGAGCAGCTTCGCCTGGCCCTGGAGTTGTCTTCCAGGGAACAGGAGGAGCAGGAACGAAGGGGTCAGCAGGAGGAAGAAGACCTACAGCGGATCCTGCGGCTGTCACTCACAGAGCACTGAGCTGGCTGGCCCTGGAGAGCTCTCCCTCCGGGGTCATTCCTTCTGCCTGTTTTCTATTTATTTATTTATAAACTGCTGCTGAGCTTGGGGTCTGGAGCCCTGGAGGTGGAAATAAAGAGACTGTCAGCAGTGGGCTTGCTGTCCTCCTTGGGCTGCAGCCAGGGACACCGGGTGGGGGACGACTGAGGATGGTGACCTCAGCTCTTCAGCTGTAAGATAAGCCCACCCCCTCCCAGAGCAGGTGTTCCAAGAGATTCTGACATTTCCCCTGGGTCACCTGGCCCATACTCCTGCTGGGGAGAGAAAAAGGCTGGGACCCCTTACTCTGCCCTTTTCTGGGGAAGCTTCCTCCCTCGTCCCTGCAGCGTAGGCACAGATTCCTACCCAGATCCAAATATCTTCTACCAGAGGGACTTTAAGCAAGTTACACCCCCACCCGCTACAGCAGTAGTTGGGGAAGAGGCTCAGCCTTGTCTGGTTTACCACTACAGTGGACTTGAAATGCCTATGAGCTTTGTGGACTATTGCTAAGACCCAAACTCATTTCCTTAGAAGCTTGTTGATCTCCTACATTTCCTCAGAGTGGAGGAAAGAAGGCCAAGCGAAAAGGAGAACAAGTTTGGAATGGGACTATTGATTAAAGACCCAGTACCCCGAGGCATGGTGGCAGAAGTCTTTAATCCCAGTACTTGGGAAGCAGATGCTGGCTGGTGGATCTCTGTGAGCTCCAGGCCAGCTTGATCTACATAGTGAGTTCCAAGCATGTCAGAGATACATTAAAAAAAAAAAAAATCCGGCCGGTGATGGACAGTGGTGGCGCACTCCTTAAATCCCAGCAGTCAGGAGGTAGAAGCAGGCAGATCTCTGTGAGTTCGAGGCCAGCCTGGGCTGCTACAGAGCTAGTTCCAGGACAGCTAGGGACAGAGAAACCCTGTCTTGAAAAACCAAAAAAAAAAAAAAAAAAAAAAAAAAAAAACNNAAAAAAAAAAAAAAAAAAAAAAAAAAAAAAACCAGAAAAAAAAACTATCGTTCTTGCTCCTTCCTTGATGTTCAAAGCTAATCGATTTTACTAGGTGTAGCAAGGAGGTTGGGTGCGTCCTGTGGGAACTGCCAAGGGGAGAAAGTAAGGTCTAGGCTCCTCACCTGCGCCCCGCCCTTGGCCCCACCCTCAGCCCCGCCTCCTGCGTGGACGGGGCGGGGCGAGCTGAGCCGAGACTGGAGGGGAGGGGCCGCGGCCGCTCGGTACGAGCTCTGTGAGGCCGGGCTGGGCATGAGTCGGGCCCTTTAAGGGCCGCTCCCGAGTAGGTGCCCGGCCCTAGTGGCTCCAATCTCTCCTTCCTGGTCCTGCGAACGCGGAGACTGACCGAAGGGCTGTGGGAGGGGTCGGGCCGGGTTCTCGTTCAGGTGACCCGGGTCTGGCTTTATGGCGCTGGTCACTGTGAGTCGCTCGCCGCCGGCTAGTGGCCACTCCACGCCTGTGGGACCCACGGTGAGTTTAGCTTGGACTTACCCTTTCGCAGTTGCCTGCCAGCTGGGCCTGAGGGAGTACGTCCTGCCCCTGGCAGACGGCCTCACGCCTGGGAGTAGTTGGAGAGGAACCTTCTTGAGTCTCACGTTCCAGGACACTTGGGAGGTCCTGAGGCTCCCAGGAGCTCGACCTAGGTAGATGTGGAGTCCTGAGAGCCAGCCCAGTCTGCAGAGGCCCAGATTCGCCCAGATCCCTCCCACACTGTTACCCCCTACCCTGGGAGCCCCGCTGTGCCCGGACTTAGGTCGGGACTCCCTGAGGCCTGTGGAGGGCGATCGGCTTCAGAGGGAGGAGATTTTATTTTCTTCCCACTTAGGGTTTCCCTGAGGGAAGAGGAGGAGAGGTTTTGGGTGCTTCCTTTCCTGGGGGCTGCTCGCTCACTCTGTCCCCGGGCTGCTTTCTCAGCAGGACCGAGTGGTCAGGCGCAGAGGCCGTCTCCAGCGCAGGTGAGTCCCTTCTCACGACACATGGCTTCCTTGTAGCCTGTGGCCTGGTCGCTGCCATTGTGAACTCCAGGTGTCTTGTTTGGACCAAGGACTCACTGAAGTATTCTCAGATAAACCCAGGCTTAGGTGAGAGCCAGGTGCTGTGGGTAGAACTGGCACACATCACACCCCTGGCTTGTGGGAGAACCAGCAGGGCTACCTTGGCCCTGGTCAGTGGATGATTTCACACATTACCTGAACTTTGGCTCAGGCCACAGGCCCAACGGCAGGATAGGACCTGAAGCTGTATGGGTGCCTAGACAAGCTTCGAGCATCCGAACCTACCCAGAAAAGGACACAAGCCCGATGAGAGCCCAAGGCTGGCCCTCTGGGTGCTGCACTGTCAGGGTCCTGATTAAAAACGCAAACTGTGCCTCACTCCTCACTCTGGGAGGTCTGTCTCAGAAGAGCAGCCCAGCAATCCATTTCAGTAATCCCTTCAGGGGACTCACCCTTGCTAAAGTTTGAAAACCTATGACCAGAGCCATTTCCCCGTCGCTCTGCCAGGCAGAGCTTTGCGGTGCTCCGAGGGGCTGTTCTGGGACTTCAAGATGGAGGCGGTGGTAATGATACAGCGGAGGCCGGCTCTGAGTCAGTGGAGGACGCTGTGGGTGAGAAGCAGCCCCCTGAGGACCAGACCGACAATGGGCAAGAATTCCAGAGCCCCTGGAAACAAGTGCAAAGACAGCACCTGCACCTCATGGTGGAGCTGCTGAGGCCACAGGATGACATCCGCCTGGTAAGGGGCCCAGCAGAGCTTTTGTCTGTTGAGGAGCAATACTGTGAGATTAGGGCTCACCCAGGCAATTGGGGGGGGGGGGAATTACCCAAACCCCAAGAACTCTGCCATTTCAGCCAGAGGCATCTTAACAGGGTAAGGGCTTATCTTTCTCCAGAGGACTGGAAGACAAGGGAGCTTTGTCCTGCATGACCCAAGAGATGGGGTACATGAGGGAGGTTTCTGTTAATCCACAGGAGACCCCTATTGATACTAGTGAGCTGCCCAGAGATGGACTCACACTCCCAGGGTTTGTGAAGCACGCCTTGGCAGCTGGTGTGCCAGGCAGGCAAACAGAGCTCCCACAGAAGGCTGGGGTTTACTGGAACCTAAGAGCCAGCTCCCGAACGTGGGGGGGGGGGGGGCAGATACTTGCTGTTAGTAAAAGTATGAAAAACAAGATGCAGGCTTTGGTAAAGCAGAGTTCAGAACAGGAATGTTGTTCTTTTTTTATTTTTATGTTATTTGGTGTTTTGCCTGCATATATGTCTGTGTGAGGGTATCAGGGCCCTGGATCTAGAGTTACAAACAGGTACAAGCTGCCACGCGGATGCTGGGAATTGAACTCCAGTCCTCTTAACCACTAAGCTGTCTCTCCAGCCCCAGGAGTGTTGTTCCAACCCATTATAAGATGAAATCCTTTTAGCATGAATGAGGCCCTACATCGTTCCTTTCGTAGAAGGCATTTCTCAAATAAAATATTGGCGAGTGGCAAGGTTTTTTAAAACCTCCTTGCAGGACTGGAGAGATGGTCCAGGGGTTAAGAGCTCTGATTGCTCTTCCAGAGGACCCTTAGTTCAATTCCCAGCACACACAGAGTAGCTCACAACCATCTCTAACTCCAGTATCAGGTTAGCTGACACTCTTCTGGTCTCTCTGGGTACCAGGATGCATGTGGTGGACAGACATACATGTAGACAAAGCGTCCTTACAAGTAACATATTTTAAAAAAAAAACCTCGTTGCTAGGCAGAAATAAGGCTGCCTTGGGCGGGGGGGGGGGGGGACGAGGCTGCCTCTATTAGTGCTATTCTCCCTTTTTTTGGGGGGGGGGACGAGAGTGTTTTGAGACAGGGTTTCTCTGTGTAACAATGCTGGCTGTCCTGGAACTCACTTTGTAGGCCAGGCTAGCCTCGAACTCACAGAGATCTGTCTGCCTCTGCCTCCTGAGTGCTGGGATTAAAGTTGTGTATCACTCTACCCAGCTTCCCCGCCTTTCCTTACATTCCCCATTTAAGGCTTCTAAAGGCAGTTGAGCCATAAACTGCAAAATTTGAGTATTACTGTGTCTTCAAGTAGCCACTGATGGGCTCTATGGAAGCTGGGGGGAGCAGGGGCTAGCAAGGAGCAAGGTGTGTCTATGTGGGATTGAAGGACAGAGCCAGGAGCTCCTGTGATTCTGGGCTTCTTTCATTTTCCCAGGCAGCCCAGCTGGAGGCAGCCCGGCCCCCAAGACTCCGCTACCTGCTGGTAGTATCCACAGGAGAGTGTCTGAGTCAGGAGACCATTCTTCTGGGGGTGGATTTTCCTGACAGGAGGTAGGAGCAGGGAGAGGAGGGTTGGGGCAGAGATGTGAGGTGCTAAGGGCCAATGGCTCTCCTGTCCCCTGTTAGCTCTCACAGCTGTACCCTGGGCCTGGTCTTGCCCCTCTGGAGTGATACCCAAGTGTACCTGGACGGCGATGGGTAAGAGGTGGCAACAGGAGGGGGAAGAGGAAAAAGGGGAGGCAGGCATTACAAAGCAATGGGACTAGGGCTGGGACCTGCTCTTCTACTGCTTGATCTTGGGAAAGTCACCTGACTCTGAGCCTCAGCCTCCCCCAACCTGACAAATGAGCAGGTTCTCTGAAAGCCTGGTATTTGGTCCCTGGGTTTCCTGCAGGGGCTTCAGTGTGACATCTGGTGGTCTGAGCCGAATCTTCAAGCCCATCTCCATCCAGACCATGTGGTAAGTGCAGCAGCCTAGCCTTAGGCCAGGAGAGGGAACCAAGTAAGACCATGTGTCTTAGCCTCTCTTTCTTGTCCCAGGGCCACGCTGCAGGTGTTGCACCAGGCATGTGAGGCGGCTCTATGCAGTGGCCTTGTGCCTGGGGGCAGTGCCCTTGTCTGGGCCACTCACTATCAGGAGAAACTGAATTCTGACCAGGGTTGCCTCAATGAATGGATGACTATGTCTGACCTGGAGTCCCTGCGACCACCTATTGCTGAGCCTGGACAGTCAGTGCTGGGGAGGGAAAGAATGGAGGGGTGGGACCCCAGTGAGGGAAAGACCTCTTACTGAAGGATCACTACCAGGGTCTCAGAACAGGAGCAGATGGAGCAGGCGATCCTGGCTGAGTTGTGGCAGGTGCTGGACAGCAGTGACCTAGAGAGTGTCACTTCGAAAGAGGTGGGCAGGGTGGCTGTGTCCGGGGCCTGAGACTCCAGCCCTGAGGCATTCCCCAGTCCCTGACTGTAGCTCTGTGTGGATGGGGCCAGGGTACAATCCTCAGAAGCTTCACAGGCTTGGGGACCTGGACTCTCTCCCTTGCACCACACCCATAGATCCGCCAGGCCCTGGAGCTGCGTCTGGGATGCCCTCTCCAGCAGTACCGTGACTTTATTGACAACCAGATGTTGCTGCTCATGGCCCAGCAAGACCGGGCCTCCCGCATCTTCCCCCACCTCTACTTGGTGAGTGCAGGCTGTTAGAGGTAGGGACCAGGTCACCCATGAGCTACCGTGACAGGTCCTGTAGCTAGAGACAAGCCACGGGAGCCCGGTGCTCTTCTGCTCCCACTCCACAGGGCTCTGAGTGGAATGCTGCCAATCTGGAGGAACTTCAGAGAAACAGGTAGGGTCCCCAGCCTCAGGGCTGCCAGTTCTCTCAGCCTTCCGTGGGCAGTTTCTGGAACCTGAGATCACCCTCAGCCCTGCTGTTTCTGCTTTAATCCAGTCCTGGGGATGTTGAATTCACTTGGGCTCTAAGGCCTCAGCAGCCTGGCCATCGGCCCCACTAAGCACACATGACAGTGCAGGACTGAGGTCTGAGCTGTCCTGAGACAAGGCGCGCTGGTGGACACTTGCCGAGCAGAAGAGGTTCCTTCCCACCTGGTCACCTCTTCAGGCAGAAGAAAATACCTTCTTCTAGTAGGGATGTGGGTGCCACTTCTGAAACAAACCTGCCATCCCCCACGATGGGCTTCTGGGAGACCTCAGCTTAGGTTCTCAGAATCATGGAAGAGGGTTAGTGTTGCTGCCTCGTCAGGGAAACTCATTCCCAGCAGAGTCAAACAGTACGCCCAAGGTTGATCAGCTGCTGGCTGGCTCAGTTCTCTTCCTGCTCCAAGTGTTGTCATCCCCTGACTCAGAACCAAGAACCAAACAGAAATGGCCAGTGAGCCTGGTTCCTTGGCCACATCAGTCTGGTTTTGGAACAGGGTAAGCCACATCCTGAACATGGCCCGAGAGATTGACAACTTCTTTCCTGACCGCTTCAAGTATCACAACGTGCGTGTCTGGGATGAGGAGTCCACACAGCTGCTGCCCTACTGGAAGGAGACACACCGCTTCATTGAGGATGCCAGGTTGGGCTCCTCCCCACTTCTGCTGCCCCAGCCCACACAGAACTGGCTAAGCCCAGCTCCCAGTGGGGACTGGTGCCCTCCTGCCCATCTTATCCTCTCTATCCTCATGTCCTCTCTGCTGGGTCCTATTCCCTTATCTGCCTGCCCCTTGCCAGTCTACAGGCTACTGGGGTTGAGGGAGAATGGACTGACCACATCCCACCTCCACAGAGCACAGGGCACTCGGGTGCTAGTCCACTGTAAGATGGGTGTCAGCCGTTCTGCTGCCACGGTGCTGGCCTATGCCATGAAACAGTATGGCTGGGGCCTGGAGCAAGCCCTGATCCACGTGCAGGAGCTCCGGCCCATCGTGCGCCCCAACCCTGGCTTCCTGCGCCAGCTACAGACCTACCAGGGCATTCTAACTGCCAGGTATAGGGGGAGGGGACAAGGGAGAAGTTGATGTGTATACTGGGGGGTGGCTGCTATGTCACTCAGAGCTGACTCAGAGCCACCTCCTCACAGCCGGCAGAGCCACGTCTGGGAGCAGAAAGTGGGTGTGGTCTCCCCCGAGGAGCCCGTGGCACCTGAAGTTTCTACACCATTGCCACCCCTTCCACCAGAACCAGGGGGCAGTGGGGAGGTGATGGTTATGGGTTTGGAGGAAAGCAAGGAAACCCCCAAAGAAGAGCTTGGGCTGAGGCCCCGCATCAATCTCCGAGGAGTCATGCGTTCCATCAGTCTCCTGGAGCCGTCTTCAGAGCCAGAGAGCACTCCAGAGGCTGGAGACCTGCCTGAGGTGAGGCTGGGCTGGAGAGCTCTGTCTGGCAGAAGGGAATATGGGAGCAAGTGCTGGAGCTTGACTTAGGGCCCCGTAGGCCCCTCACAGTAGGGTGTTGTCTTGCCTCTTCCACACTGACCACCTTACACTTTTCTGTGCCAGGCAACTCAAGACACCCTGAGTACCTAAGGATGGGGACCACCTTTGGGCTCCTCCTTTTATGCCAAGCCAGGCAAGAGCAGTGGCCCCAGGGGCTAAGCAGTTACAGGTCTGACTTGGAACATGGAACAGTCCAGTCCCAGCCTGACAAACTGGCTCGTTTCCCAAGGGCCTTGGCTCCTAGCTTTGGAGTAAGCATTGTCCCCAAGCCATGAGCTCCACTGCCAGCTGATGGCTGGAAAAGCTCCCTGCACTAGAGAGCAGAGGGGAGAGCGTTCCTGAAGTTCATCCTGTGTGCCCAGGAGCAGAGAAGGCCTTTGCACTCCTACAGTCCACCTACTGATTAAGTCACAAGCATGTTGTGTGCTGAGCATTGTTGGGCACAAGCAAAGACAGGAAGCTAGCCCTTGCCTGAGGAAGCCAGGCCTCACATGTGACATGAGGTCATATGGCTGACCCAAAAGAAGGAATCTGTGCAGGCAGAATGTTTAGGTGCAGGGTATGGACCGACGGGGAGGCGTGGGATGATGGTGAGTATTGTGTGAGGCAAGTGTCCTTGAGACACCCAGCCACTGATGTCCACAGAGCTCCTTCCAAGCCTGGCACCTGTCAGGGTTGCAGCTGTGGCTCACTGGGTTGAATGTGCAAAGGCAGAGAGGGGTGAGAGGGGAAGGTGGCTGAAGTCATGTGGTGAGCCAAGGAACAGGCTGGATGCTGCTTTTCCCTTGGGAAGTGTGGCTCTGAGTGCCCTGTGGCTTTTCCTCTCCCACCCAGGTTTTCTTTTCCCATGATTCTTCAGATGAAGAGCCTCTTCATTGCTTCTCTCAGCTTTCAACAGCCAAAGGTGGTCAGCGAATTTGCAGGGGGCCTTGGCCTGCCCTCAAGTCTCGCCAGTCTGTGGTTGCCCTACACAGTGCTGCCCTGGTGGCCAGCAGGACCCGGGCCTTCCAAGAGCAGGGGCGAGGGCAGGGGGAGGCTGGGATGTCTTCTCCACCGAGGCTCCGGAGAGTGGTGAGGCAGGCCAGTGTAGACGACAGCAGGGAGGAGGGTGGGGCCTAGGCCTCTACATTATGTCCCCTGGACACTAAGCAGACTCCTCAGATGAACACCCTTTGCACCCGTGGGCCCGCACACTCCATACAGCTCCTCCCCAGCAGTCCCTAGACCTTTGTCACTTCCTGCAGCCTTAGGTTTCAGACCTGGGTCTACCTGTCAAGGGCTCACGACTTTTCTACATAAGGTATATGGGTAGACCCATTCCAGGTGCCTTTAAGGGTAGTCATACCCTGGTTTCATTTCCTACCAACTTTAAGCAGCCATGGAATTAAAGCCAGAAATCTAGGGCAAGTCCCCCTTGCCCTCGACTTCTGGCTGTTCTGTCCTGCTCCTTCCACCCTCTCCTACCGCAGTCCTGCAGGCAGCTAGGCCAGGGGGACCAGTGGCCACAGAGGCAGACAGCACTTTCAGTACCCAGCCCCACAGGCTCTGAGGGCTCACAGCCCCCCTTCTCCCCACAGCCGACTAGAGTCTCTACTGCTGCCCTAAGTCATTCCGTGGCCCTCAAGGGCACTAGGCTAAAGGGAGTCTTCTTATTCTTGAAGATCTCTGGCCAGCCAAGTTTTTCATAGTCAAATAGTATCTGGCTTTGTCCTGAGAAATAAAAGCATTTTCATACTAAGTATTTTTCCATTTGGTGACAAAGCCATCTGTCTTTCAATCAGATCCTTCTCTGTTGACACACCACACTCCCTCTCCTAGCTCCAGCTTTCTCACGTCTCTCAGGTGTCCTGTGACAGACCTGCTTTGGTTGAGTGGTGTGTTGGGGGAGGGGAAGGGGTAGCCAGTGCTATCTCCTCATCTCTAGGGAACAGCCTGGGTAAATGTTAGCCATCCTGCCCATCAACAGGAGCAGGGGGAGCAGGCATATAGCGGGCATCAGACTTGTGATTCTGCTGGCACAGGGAGTAAACTGTGAGGAAGCACCAATTGTGTTGCCTACCTGGACAAAAAGCCTGTTCTTAAGGTTGGACTTCTTAGGGCATTTGATGCTAGTTCTTGAGAATGTTTGGGTCCTAGGAATCACCTCCAAAGCCTTGAATATCAGCACATGGGGGCAGAAGCAGGCGGGTCTCTTATGAGTTCGAGGTCAGCCTGGTCTACAGAGTGAGTTCCAGGACAGCCAGGGCTACACAGAGAAATCCTGTCTCAGAAAAACGAAAGCAAAAAGAGATGTCATTTTCATCCTAGTCCCAAGATGATGCTCTGTGTGTCAGGGCACGATGACATACTCCACTAGTTCCAGGTAAGCGTGTTCAGTGCCAGGACTGACTCCAGACATGCGTGTCCAGTTTCATGAAAGTGTCTTTCCCAAAGTCTTGGGGTAGGAGAAGTCTGGTGTGTGTGTGGGTGCAGGTGGGACGGGTGGACTTGAGTCTCAGCCTTGGCTATATCACTTCCAAGACGTATCCAGAGTTGGTTTGTTTTTGTAAAACAAAGCAAACCTGGGAAGCCATAAACACTGCCCCCCACCAGCACCCCCACTACTCTTTGGTTTTGTTTAGGCACAGCTAGAGCTCAGCTTCCGAGTGCTCTCTGGAATAAGAGTCATTTAAACCCATCTGGTGGCAGGCATAGGGGCAGAAGGAGGGGTGCAGTGAAGCCAGTACATTACTGACCCAAGATACTGAGCTCCCTCCAGCAGCTAAGCAGGAGTCACACCAGACTGCTGAGGCTAGGGCTGAGGGCTGGAGAGATGAGGGTTGGGAGGGCAGCCCCGCTTCCTGCTTCTTGCTCAGCTCAAAAAGCAGGGGACACAGTCATGAACTCCCGCTCCTTCCAGCCCTCTGTTCACAAGGACCCTGGAAAGAAGGATTAATGAAACTGTTTGCATCAGAAAAGAAGGATTCAGTCTCTGTTTACTCTAGCGCCCCACTTCCATCTTCACGGGCAATGGCTGTTCATAGCTTCTGAGGCCTCCAAGGACGGTGATGTAATCAAATCCAGTAGTATGTGTGTTCTTTGGAAATGTGCTAGCATTTAAAATTTTTAATTACATTTTTATATTTTGTGTGTGCACATATGCCACAGCTTCTGGATGGAGGACAAGAGAACAACCAGAGGGAACCAGTTCTCCCAGCGTGGAGGTTCCGGGGACTGAACTCGGGTATTCAGTCTTGGTGGCAGGTGTCTTGATCTACTGAGTCCTCCCACTGGCCCTAGACAACAGCATATTAAAATTCTAAGCCGGGTGGTGGTGGCGCACACAACTTTAATCCCAGCACTCAAAAGGCAGAGGCAGGTGGATCTCTGAGTTTGAGGCCAGCCTGGTCTACAGAGCGAGTTCCAGGACAACCAAGGATTTAAGGTTTGTGCCACTTGCCGGGCTATATAAGAGGCCATTCACTGATAAACAGTATATTAGCATTTTTTAAAATCCTATTCCAAGTAACATTTCACTAAGTACTCTTGTCCTTATTTTTGTTTACAAAAATATTTTGTTTGCTACTCAATCTGTGGGACATATTTCTAAGATTGCTAAAGCAAAGACTATATTTTTTATTTCATGAGACACTGCCTAATTTCCTTCCAGGAAGTTGCACCTATTTACAGCAATGGGAATGTCTACCTCCTTAAAGGGCCATCCAGCCTACACGCCCAAGTCACCTTCCTGTACTGTCAGACGGGCGGGCAAAGGGCAGGTAGGCCTTACATCCACTGCTGTTTAGGAACCAAGCCTTAGAAGAAACTACTGAATCTAGAGCCTCAGTCAGATCCTGGGTTTCTAGATTTCAATCCAGGAGCCTCACTCCCCGCACTGAGACGTCTGTTTCCCAGAGGTCAATCCTCTGGTTTTACAATAGTGCTCAAGCCGTGGAGAACCGCCTGGAAACGCCCAACTCCAACAGGCAGGGACATTAAAATCCTGTGTCCGGTCCGGGTCCGAGTTCCCATTCAATTCCCACCTGACACCGCAGCCCCTACTTGAACACTTGGGGTAAGGAGGAGCTCGCATCTCTCAAGGTAGCCCCACCTTGGACTAGTTCCCGTCTTCAAAGCCTTCTCCTGGCCCAGGGCCTCTTTAGGCCGTTTAAAAACACAATAAAATTAAACCCTCCGCAGAGTTCGCGCTTCCGCCTCTACTCGGCACCGAGGACGCCACACAACCGGCGCCGAACCAGAGTTTGACCTTTCAGGCTTCGGTGGCCTCGCCTCAGGCCACAGCAACAGCGAAAGCAGACTCTGGCTCATGAGAACCAAACGCGACGCTCGGGCGCCATCTTGTGGCCGTTTCTCAGGCCTCGCAGAGACCACCTGAAAACTACTTTTCCCAGCGTGTCTAGCGCAACTGCGCAGGCGCAAAGGCCGTCTTCTCGTTTCCATGGGAACTTCGACCCCCGGGTAAATCAGACAGTTAGCTGTGCTGGGAGGGGTTAGAATGTTGCTCCCTTAGAAGCTAGGAGCTAGGTTACCGGTTCTGCAGACCATTACGAGGACAAAGTGGGGAAACTGCCTCCCGGGACCAGCGCTGCCAAGTTCTCCTGGGTGTCCCGGCGTCCGCACTCTCCCGGGGCCTCAGCGTCTGGAGAGCAGTGTTTCGATCTGGCCTGCAAGGTGCCGCTCAGTCTTGAGCCGATCTCTAAATCGTGTCGCCCTCAGCGGAGAGCCTGGCGCCCGCCGCACACAGGTACTCCTGCACGAGCGCACAGCGGGCGGGTGTAGTGGGCGCTGAGAGAATGTGGAAGGAGAACCCTTCTGCCTGGGAGACCAGCGCACCTGGGCCTTGGACCGGATTCTGCCTCCAAAGAGCTGGAACCCCAGGCTGACCCCCAGCTTCAGTATTCGTCCTTGTCCCCGCCCCATACAATGGGAATTTCGTTGACCCCAAGTTCCTGTCTCGTTAAAACAAGGAAGGAACCTTTAAGCAGGATGTGGTGGTGCATGCCTTTAGATGAAAAGTAGGTCTCTATGAGTTCAAGGCTAGCCCTATGTACATATCGAGTTCAGGCCAGCCAAGGCTACTTAGTGAGAACCTGTCTCAATAAGATAAAATAAATAAAATAAAAAAGAAATTAAAAAGGAGCCTGAAGCAAATAATCCCCGGGGTGTTTTCTAGCCATGCAATTTACCTACAACTAGAGTCACTGCCCCTCACTAAGTGCAAGAAGGAGAAAAAAGCTGGGGGAGGGGTGTGAGACGGACAGAGCAAGAATGACAGCATGGGTGTCATTTGGGTGCAGACTTATGACACCTCTTGAGCCTCAGTCTCCTCATGGGGACAAAACGGGTAATAATCATGCCAAGCCATGTTTTTGTTTTAAGGCCTGTTTTTTTTATGTGTGTAGGAGTCACGCCTGCCTGCATGTATGTATGTTACCTTGTGAGTGCTGATGGAGGTCAGAAATGGTGTCAGATCCTCTGGAACTGGAGTTAAGGATGGTTATGACCCCTCCACGCCCCAAATGTGGGTGTTAGGGATCAAATCTGTTCCTCTATGCAAGAGCAGCAAAAGCCCCTAAGTGCTGAGCCAGGCCCACACCTCAAACTCACAGAGATTCTCCTGCCTCTGTCTCCCAAGTGCAGGGACTGAACGGGTGCACCAACACTGCCAGGCCAGATCCCTACATTTTGAAGTAACTTCTTTTATTTCTGGGCGCTCCCGTTCTTTTTTAGTGGGATTGTGTGTTTACAGACTGATTGTAAAGAGGAAGGTCCACTCTCCTCATTCAGGATCAGTGCTGCAGGCCAGGGCACTCAAAGGCACAGTGCGTGGGCATGGCATGATCCCAGGTCCAGCATCAGGTAGTGGGGGAGATACTTTTCCTTCCTTAAGATTCTTAGAGGGTGCCGGGCGGTGGTGGCGCATGCCTTTAATCCCAGCACTCAGGAGGCAGATGCAGGCAGATTTCTGGGAGTTCGAGGCCAGCCTGGTCTACAAGAGCTAGTTCCAGGACAGGCACCAAAGCTACAGAGAAACCCCGTCTCGAAAAAAACAAACAAACAAACAAAAAAAAAAAAAACAAAAAAAAACCCAACCCGGGCAGTGGTGGCGCACGCCTTTAATCCCAGCACTTGGGAGGCAGAGGCAGGCGGATCCCTGTGAGTTTGAGGCCAGCCTGGTCTACAGAGTGAGTTCCAGGACAGTCAAAGATCCACAGAGAAACCCTGTTTTGAAAAAAAATATTTTTATTCATATGTGAGTGTTTGACCTCTACATAGCATGCATGCAGTGCCCACAGAGGTCAGAAGAGGGCACCAGAGCCTCTAGAATTGGCATTGACAGTAGTGAAGTGAGATGCCATGTAGATGCTGGGAAACTAAACCAGAGTGGCTGGTGCTCGGAACTGCTAAATCTTCTCCCCTGAATATTATTTGTTCTTTAATGTGGGTCCTCCCTCGCTTAACAAAGAATGGCCATTCATCTAACTAACATTTCTATGTAAAAGCTAATCCGTGAAATTTGTTTGCAGATGTTGTAGGAGACTGCTTGTTGGTTTCCTGGCTACCCAGACTCCCAAAATAATCACTGTATTAATTAAATCACTGGTTGGATTAGCTCTAGCTTATTTGCTAACTCTTACATCTTAATTTAACCCATCTCCAGTATTTTATATTTTACCACGAGGTTCGTGGCCTACTGGCAAGGTTTGAACATCTGTCTGCGGTGGGGGCTACATGGCTTCTCTCTGACTCCACCCTTCTTTCTCCAAGCATTCAGTTTAGTTTTCCCGCCTAGCTAAGTTCTGCCCTGCTATAGGTCCAAAGCAGTTTCTTTACTCATTAATGGCAATCACACCATACAGAGGGAAATTCCACATTACCTCCCCTTTTCTGTTTAAATAAAAAGGTTTTAACTTTAACATAGTAAAATTATATATAACAAAACAGTTATCAAGCAAGAATTACAGTTACAATATTTATATCTACTTTATCTTTTATCATAACTATGGAAAACTATAATAATAACTATTCTTCAACTCCATCAAAGACTCCAGAAGAATATGATATTTTTACCTAAGTAAACAGGAAGTGCATTGTAAGCAACTTCCAAAACTCTAGAATTGATAGAGATATCTCGCTACCCGGACAGTCACCGAAAATTCTTCTGTAATGTTGGGATATCCATCTTTAGCCTACAGGTCCATAAGTATCCAGCAGACTTTTTCATGAGGCAGGAAATTTCAAAGACAGTTGTGCCTATATTGACAGTTTGTCAGTCACTTTCTTCTGTGTCCTGCAGAATGTCTAGCAGTCTTTCATGAAGCAGGAACCTTGAAAGATTGTCTCACCTTTAGGCAAGTTCAGCAGTCATTTCTCTGTGGGTCCTGCATGTTCAATTCATCAAGCAGTCCAGACAGGAGCAGTTTTTTGCCCAAATGGCTAGCAAACTCCATGAGGAGCCTTTTCGATGCCCATCTTCCTTTTGAAGTAATTGGTGCTGCCAGGAGCAGATATGTCTCACTGTCATGAAAAGTTTTAAGCTCTTAAAACATTTTAAATGCCATATTCTGAAGGTCTCTGAAAGATTTGAAGAATACCTATTTAACTGAAATATATCTTTATGTATCTAGAAAACCTAACTAACATGACTAGAAGCTTGACTATTATAATCATCTATTAACCTTTTTATATATTTCTTAATTTATATATATATGTCTTAATTANCACATAACTCTTATCACCACTTCCTGCCATGCTTTTTACTGGTATGTCCCATTAAACAGTTTATAAAGCATTCTACTGTTTTCCTAACCAAAAGTATCAAAGTCTAAATCCTCCAAACAAAAACATGGTCAGGCCCATCACAACAATACCCCAGACCCTGGTACAAACATCTGTCTTAGTTAAGGTTTCTATTGCTGAAAATCAACACCATGACCATGGCAAATCGTATGAAAGGCACTGTTAATCAGGTCTTTTATGGTGTATCCTGTACACTAGCTTCATCTCAGTTAGAAGTTGGGTGAAGTAATTTTTTGAGGGTGTTCACGGCACCCTTCAGGAGTCTGTGGTCTATCAAACCATATTTGTCTGGAAGTATTCCACAGGTTCTCATCTTCTGTGGAGACAAAAGAAAAACCTCTTTTCCAAAGCAACATATCCTTAGATTCAAATTTTGGAATCAAGATACTTTTAGAACATATATGCTAGTTTAGCTTAGCAGCCCATACAATAAAATGTCTCTCTGTACTTAGCTCATTCACAGACAAAAAAATTAAAAGAAAACACAATAATTTACATAATCCAGACTCTCTGTATGCATTCCATCTTTTCGTGGCTTATTATTTTTTTACTCCTTTTAATCTATGACTGTCTATACTCTGTCTCTTAAAGACTTTGTTTTATTTTTAAAAAAAAACATTTACTTATTTTTTTATTTAACTTTATTTTATATGCATTGATATCAGATCCCCTGGACCTGGAGTTACAGACAGTTGTGAGCTGCCATGTGGAAGCTGGGAATTGAACCCGGGTCCTCTAGAAGAGAAGTCAGAGCACTTAACTGCTGGGCCATCTCTCCAACCCCCCATTTACTTGTTTTTATAACTATCTATATTCTTTTTCTTCTCTCTCCCAAGCCTACGTACATTTCTTAAACACATTGTGACCCATTTAGAGGTCTTTTATGTCTGAATCTGTTCTTATTGTATATCTGTAACTCTTTACTGTCTTGAAGAACTTTTAAAATGGTGAGCAGCTTGGTTGCAGCAGCTCTGGATACTGGCTCTCCACTTTCAAAATGATGGAGGTACCATTACTGCCAGCTCTGGGACCACCAGGTAGGAGCTGCACTCAGCACTTTAAATCTGAGAATGAGCATGCAGCATATAAACCCTTTTTATCTGAGCAATAGCTAAATATGCCATGCAGTGCATTGCAGGGCCTGGATACATCTCTGTGTATGGTGGCAGGAATCTGCCATGCTCTCCTGCCTGTGCACTCCTAGGAGTCCTGATCCTGCTGCCTGCCCAGGCCAGAGGTGCTGAGCTGCAGGCATGGTCTTAGCTACTTTCCCAAGTGGGCATACAAGCACCCGGGCCCACAAACCCCATTCAAATGCTTCATAGCTGAACCTCCCAAAAAGCTAGAGCCATTCCTGCTGGCAAACCAGGAAGCCGCCATTTTGAAACTGCAGCTTTTTTTTTTTTTTCCTGCTACTGCTGAATCAGAAAAACCTCTTTTAAAGGAGCTTCAGCATGTCACTAGCAAGCAGAGCCCATTTGGGGGGGGGGAATACAGCTAAACTTTGTTTATTAGTGTCTAGAATTCCTTTCTAAGCTTTCTTAGTTTTAGTTTTATGTGGGCAGCAATTTGTTGTAGGGAGGCCATTTATTGGTTCCCGGCCACCCTCTGCTTGTTCGTTTCCCGGCTGCTCAGCCCTGAAATAATCACACAGAAACTGTATTACTTAAATCGCTGTTTGACAAATTACTTAAGCATATTGCTAGCTAGCTCTTACATCTAGAATTAACCCGTCTCCATTATTTTATATTTTACCACAAGGCTCGTGGCCTACCAGCAAGGTTTCAGAATGTCTGTCTCTGGTGGCAGCTCCATGGCTTCTCTCTAAATTCCCCCTTCCTTCTCCCAACATTCTGTTTAGTTTTCCCTACCTACCTCTGTTTCCTGCGTAGGCCCATGACAGTTTGTTTATTAACCAATGGCATTCACAGCATATAGAGGGGAATCCCACATCATGCAGGTTTATTAATTTTACTTCATGTGAATGCATCTTTGCCTGCATCCTACATGTATGTATGTGTGTGGTGCACATGCCTGGTGCCCATGGAGGTCAGAAAAGTGCATCAAAAACTCCTGGAGCTGAGATTAGGAATGCATGGGAGCCCCCATGTGGTGCTGAGCCTCAAACCTGGGCTCTCTGCAGGAGCAGCAAGTGCTCTAAGCTGCTGAGCCATCTCTCCAGTCCCGTAAACATTTGTTTTGTTTTGGTTTTTTTGGAGACAGGTTTTTCTGTGTAGCCCTGGTTGTCCTGGAACTCACTCTGTAAACCAGGCTGGCCTTGAACTCAGAGGTCAGCCAGCCTCTGCCTCCTGAGTGCTGGGACTAGAGATATGTGCCACCATTCCCAGTACCATGAACATTTTAAATACCTATTATGTATGTGGTACTGTGTGGGGTGTACTGAGGAATGTGATGATGTATAATTCAACCTTTCCTCCAGGAAACATGGCATCTGACAGAGAAGTAATTATGAGTCCAGACACATAATTTAAGTAGAAATTAATGTAGCAGTCAAGGTCTAGGTCCCTGTGCTCTGGAGAGTCTATAGCAGGAGAGACTGCTCCCAGGTCACTCTCCCTGGAGAAAAAGAGGAGCCTCTACGTGAGATTCCTAATATATGTGTAAAGTGTATAAGTCAAACTTAGGGGAAAGTTGTTCTAGGGACCCTTTTAGAGCATGAGGCAGAGGCAAGTGGATCTCTGTGAGTTAGAGGTCAGCCTGGTTTACAAGAGCTAGTTCCAGGACAGGCACCAAAGCTACAGAGAAACCCTGTCTTGAAAAACCAAAAAACAAAACAAAACAAAACACTGTGTGGATATCCTGTTCCTCAATAATCTATTAGCCACTGGTTTTATTTTTATTTACGTTTCTTTGTGTGTGTAGGGATCAAATTAAAGGCCTCACGTGCTCTGTTATTAGGTTGCACCTTCACCGCTCAGCCAGTTTTAGCATCAGATGATAATCTTGCCTAAATTATTTATTTCATTGTATCATTAAGTTGCATCATTTTCTATCGTGCATTTGATGTCGTAAGCTATTATTTCTCCAGTGAAAGGATTTTCCTTGTCACATTTATCCCTGATGGCGCGATGTGTTAAATCATTGTGCCAGTACTTATTTATTTTATGTGTGTATGTGTGTCACTGAGTGTATGTATGTGCACCACGTGTGTGGGTTCTCTGTGAGGCCAGAAGAGAGCGCTGGATCTGGAACTGGAGTTACAGAAGTTTGATTTTGGGGTGTGGATGCTGCCAGTGGAACCTGGATCTTCTGCGAGAGCAGCAGCCATTGAGCCAGCGCTCCAGCCCCACTTCATTCTTCCTGGTTCTCAGATTATCCTGTGTGTGGGCAGGAAGAGCTCGTCGAGATGGTCCCAGGTATCTGAGCACATTGTGCATCCTGTCAGTGCACCTTGGAGCTACCCTGAGAAAGCCAGCCATGTACCCAGAAACCCTCAGGAAAGCTGTTCGCAGAAACCACGAGTGAGTCCAGATATGCAGATTTTGCTGCTGGTTTTTACTTTTTTATTTTATTGGTGTTTTGCCTGTCTGGATGCCTTGTGGGGGTGTTGATCCTGGATTAGAGACAGTTGTGAGCTGCCATGTGGGTGCTGGGAATTGAACCCAGGTTCCCTGGAAGAGCAGTCAGTGCTCTTAACTGCTGAGCCATCTCTCCAGCTCCCAGATAAGTTTATCGCTACAGTGTTTTATTGCTTGTTGGCTTTTATGATAGATGACAAGTGGGAAAAATACTGAGTTTTAGGACTGCTGATTCAGACCATGGCAGAGCCTTCCCATTATGGTAAGTGGCTCTAAAATTGGTAAAATATGTATGACCACTATTACTGGATTTTAGAAATAGGTGAAGATGATTCACTGAGGAAAGGTTGCAGGAAAGATAGCTATGGAGAAAGCCCAGGTCTGTGGGACTTCTCTGAATCCTTGGCTGAGGCTGGCTACACACGTGCAGGGTGGCTTTGTGAGACCAGGAGAAATTTACTATTGCTGTACCATCGGGAGTGAAGTGGACATACTGAAGATCCCACAGTCCTGTGAGAATCTGGATTGTGGGCTAATCAGAATGGAAATGCATCTTTAATATTCTGATTGCCATGAGACCTCAGTGAAGCCCTGCTGTAGGGACCATGACCTAGAAGCTGGGAGGACAATCTACAGCCTGCCCAGTCTGGCTCACCACAGGCACTACAGCCTGCCCATTTGTTTACATACTCTCTCTAGTGACTTACACTACAGAGGCAGAGACCATATGGGCCTGAATAGCTGACAATACTGTCTTGCTCTTTAAGAGGTCAGTTCTTTTCTAAGCCCTCCTGGAGAACAAAGCAATACCAAACCTGTTTAATACAGCCGAAAATCAAGTCCTAAAAAGTTCAAGGATGGATTGGTAAGATGGCTCAGTGGTTAAGAGCACTGGCAACTTTTCCAGAGGTCCTGAGTTCAATTCCCAGTACCAGCTATCACAACAATCCATAATGAGATCTGGTGCCCTCTTTTGGCCTGCAGGCATACATGCAGGCAGAACATTGTATACTTAATAAATAAACGGGGGGGGGGGATAAAAAAATAAATAAACAAATCTTTTTTTAAAAAAGTTCAAGGACTGAGAGCTGGAGAGATGGCTTTGCTGTTTAAGAGCTCTAATTGCTCTTTCAGAGGACCAGAGTCTGGATAAGTACTTATACAGGGTGGCTGACAACCAGCTCCAGGAGGTCCTGCACCCTCTGTTGACACTCACACAGGCACACAGATGCACAGGCACTCATGCACACGTGCGCACACACACACATACGTGCAGGCAAACCACTCATGCACAGGAAGTAATTCAGCCAGGTGTGGTGGCATGCACTTTTAATCCTAGCACTTAAAAGGCAGAGGCAGACAGATCTCTGTGAGTTCGAGGCCAGCCTGGTCTACAGAGTGAGTTCCAGGGCGGCCAAGGATACACAGAGAAGCCCTGTCTTGAAAAGAAAGAAAGATAGATAGATAGATAGATAGATAGATAGATAGATAGATAGATAGACAGACAGATACATACATACATACATACATACATATATACGTAGATAGATACATATGTAGATAGATAGATAGAATAGAGTGCTTCTTTAAATTTTAAAAACTTGCTGGGCCATGATAGTGCATAGTACTTTAATCCAAGTACTTGAGAGGCAGAGGCAGGAGGATTTCTGTGAGTTTGAGGCCAGCCTGGTCTACATATTCCTGAATTCCAGGCCATCCGGGACTGCACCGAGAGACTTTGTCTTGAGGGGGGAAAAGAGGCACTCTGTTGAAGCATGATCAATAAAACTCAGAAATATTGTATGCATAATAAATAAATAAATAAATAAATAAATAAATAAATAAATAAATAAGAAAACGTTTCCTTAGGTCGAATTATCAGAATATTAAGCTTAAGTTTAGAAACAGCTTTTAAATAAATAAATAAATAAATAAATACATAAACTCAGAGACAGAAATTGGGGCTCAACCTGAAGGTCAGAAAAGCAAAAGAGCCAGCCACTGGCTCTTACCTAGACCTCAGTCTGATACCGCCTTCAGGAATCTCAGAATGAGACGGAGAATATGAGCTGTCTTCTCCCATTTTATAATCCTCTCTAGTGCTGGGATTAAAGACGTGCACCACCACCACCTGGTTTCTGTGGCAAGCTAATGTGGCCACTGGGATTAAAGGTGTGTGTCATTGCTGCCTGGTCTGTAAGGCTGGCCAGTGTGGTGGTTTTATTTTTCTGATCTTCAGGCAAGCTTTATTTATTAACATACAAATGAAATGTTACTACACTCTGTGGTTCTTTGTTATGGAAGCCTGTCTTCATTCTTTTGTGCTGTTAGAATAGAATATCTCTAAGTAATTCATAAGTAACAATGAATTTTATTCTCTTACATTCTCAGGTACCAGACATAGTACATACACAAAAGCAGTCCAAACACCCACACACATAAAAGAAATACATTAAATTTTTAAAATTTTTCATGTGTGTGGTTGTTTTGCCTGCATGTATTAGTATACAGTGTCCTCAAAGGCCAGAAGAGAGTGTCTAATCCCTTGGGACTGGAGTTACAGAAAGTTGGGAGTCACTATGTGGGGGCTAGGATTTGAACCCTGGTCCTCTGGAAGAGCAGCTGGTGCTTCCATCTACTAAACCACCTCCTCAGGACCCAATAAATAATTAATTTTTTGTTGTTGTTTTTTGTTTTTTTTTTTTTTATGACGGTGTTTCTGTGTGTAGCCTTGGTTGTCCTGGAACTCTCTCTGTAGTCCAGGCTGGCCTCGAACTCAGAGATCCGCCTGCCTCTGCCTCCCTAGTGTTGTGATTAAAGGCACATGCCACCACACCTGGTTTCAATAATTAAGTTTTAAAAAATGAATTATTATTATTCAGCCATCAAAATAAATCAAGTACTTGTAGGCTACACTAGAGAGGATTATAAAATGGGAGAAGTTTCACTGTGAGTGAAACTTTTTTAAAGATTTCTTTATTTATTATGTATATACACACACCAGAAGAGGGCACTAGATCTCATTATAGATGGTGGTGAACCACCATATGGTTGCTGGGAACTCAGAACCTCTGGAAGAACAGCTAGTGCTCTTAACCTCTGAGCCATCTCTCCAGCCTGGATTTTTTTTTTAAATAAGTGAGGCTGTGTTTGTTTGCTTATTTGTTTGTTTTTTGAGGCAGAGTTTCTCTGTGTAACAACCCTGGCTGGCCTGGAACTCACAGAGATCCACCTGCCTCTGCCTCTCAAGTACTGGAATTAAAGGTGTGCGCCATCACTGCCCAGCTATAAGTGAACCTTTAAATCCTTGTATTATATCAAAGAATATAGATATAAAAGGGCACATACTACATGATTCTGTTTATTCATTTTTATTAATTTTTTTTAATGTCTATGGGCATTTTGCCTGTCTGTGCATACATGCAATGCCCACAAAGGCCAGAAGAAGCATCCTTTTTTCCTTTTTAGGACTTATTTGTTTTTCTTTTATGGGTATGAGTGTCTTGCCTGCTTGCATGTGTGTGAAGTACATGTGTGCCTGGTGCCCCGGATGTCAGAAGAAGGCATTAAATCCCCTGGTACTGGAGATAAGATACAGATGGTTATGAGCTGCCCGGTGGGTGCTGGGAATTAGCAGCAAGTGTTCTAAATTGATGAGCCATCTCTCCAGCCCTGCAATTCTTGCTGTGTGAAATGTTCAGAACAGGCAGATCTACAGAGATTGAAAATATGTTGGCTGTTGCCAAGGGGACTGGAACTGCCTGCCAGTAGTTGCAGAGCTTCTTTGTGGAGGGATCAGAATGTTGTTGAATGAAGGGATCATGTTAAAATATGGCCCCCCAGCCTCTGCAGACACCTGCACTCACGTGCACACACAACACCCCTGACACACACACCTGTCACACCCTGTCACAACCACCTGTCACTCTAGCACCAGAGGGATCCAGCCTCTGCAGACACCTGCACTCACGTGCACACCCAGCACCCCTGACACACACATATACACATAATTAAAATAAGAATAAAGTCGTAAAAAAAATCTCTGAACCTTGAGCTCTACTTCTGTTAATGAGATTTTTTTATTTTACACAAAGAGGAGCTGGGGATGTAGCCAATGGATAGTGCACTCTGTAAACATGCAGGCCTAAGCTGGAGCTTTAGAACCTGTGTAAAGCCACATTCTTGTAATCCAGATCTTGAGAGGTGGGGACAGGTGCCTCCCTGGGCCGGACGACCAGCTAGCCTAGCATGACGGGTAAGTTCCAGGCCAGTAGGAGACCTTGTCTCAAAAAACAAAATGAAAGACTCCTGAGGAGTGACAGCTGAGGTTGTCCTGCCTCCACATGTATGTGCACACATGTATAAGCACACCATATACACATGCACACGTTCACAAATAAATGATAAAGTTAGCAAACAAAAGTTGTTAAGAAAATTAAAACTAGCCGGGCATAGTGACACACACCTTTAATCTTAGCATTTGGGAGGAAGAGACAGGTGGATTCCTGAGTTCAAGCCCAGCCTTGTCTACAGAGAAAGTTTAAGGATAGCAAAGTCTACAAACATAAACCCTGTCTCAAAAACAACAATTAAATTAATAAACTCCTATAAAAACTAATTTTTTAAATAGAGGGAGACAGGCATGGTAGTGAACGCTTTTTATTCCAGCACTTGGGAGGCAGAGGCAGAGGATCTCTATGAGTTTGAGGCCAGCCTGGTCTACATAGTGAATTTCAGGTCAGCCAAGGCTACATAGTGAGACCCTGCCTAAAAAATATATACTGATAATATTAACAATAAATGTAAAAAGGCAAGATAAAAACAAATGACCAATTATCAGAAATGAAAGCTTGAAAATTAACCTGAAATTAATATTAGATCCAAATGTGAATGCCAAAACACAAAATATCTAGAAAAAGACAGAGGAGAAAATCCTTGTTCTT